GTGTATATTGTGTCTGTGTGTGTCTGTGTGTGTCTGTGTGTGTATATATTGTCTGTGTGTGTAGATATTGTGTCTGTGTGTGTCTGTGTGTGTCTGTGTGTGTCTGTGTGTGTCTGTGTGTGTATATATTGTGTCTGTGTGTGTAGATATTGTGTCTGTGTGTGTCTGTGTGTCTGTGTGTGTATATATTGTCTGTGTGTGTAGATATTGTGTCTGTGTGTGTCTGTGTGTGTCTGTGTGTGTATATATTGTGTCTGTGTGTGTAGATATTGTGTCTGTGTGTGCCTGTGTGTGTCTGTGTGTGTCTGTGTGTGTCTATATTGTCTGTGTGTGTAGATATTGTGTCTGTGTGTGTCTGTGTGTGTATATTGTGTCTGTGTGTGTCTGTGTGTGTATATATTGTGTCTGTGTGTAGATATTGTGTCTGTGTGTGTCTGTGTCTGTATATATTGTGTCTGTGTGTCTGTGTATAGTGTGTCTGTGTGTGTATATTGTGTCTGTGCGTGTCTGTGTGTCTGTGTATATTGTGTCTGTGTGTGTGTATATATATCAGCCAGTCATCTCAGTCAGTCGACCTGTGGCACCTGGGTCTGCCCCGTGACCTCCTGCCAGCGGACTTTTGACACTTCACGTGGCCTCAAGGTGCACATAGCCTGGCACAAGCGTCATGGTGACGTCACCGCCACTTAGTGGCGAATGGCGGTTGTTGTATATTGTGTCTGTGTGTGTATGTGTGTGTCTGTGTGTGTGTATTGTGTCTGTATCTGTGTGTGTGTGGAGAGTCGGGCGTGGTGTTGGCCACCCACCCCCTCGCGTGCCGTGCCGACCTTTCATCGGTGCTCGCAAACAGCACTTGCCCCAACAGTCTGCTGAGGCTACACGGGGGGGGGGGGGGGGGGTCTCTGTATGGAGTGATTCGAATGCATCCACCTCCAGTGAACGGAAGAAGCGCTACGATTCGGTGGGTCGCGATTCACTCCCAGAACACGTTTCACTTGCACTGGTCGCTTGGCGTCGGGGTGTTTGTTTTGCGCAGTTTCGTTCAACTCCATTAAGCCGATAAATCCTGTGACGTGAGCATCATCGTGAGCACGTCTCTGACACGCACGGCCACCCTTGTCTCAACTCCACTGCTGGACGAGCGCCCCTCGACGCCCGTGGGGGTCACTTGACCAAAGCGGCGTAGACGCCTGAGCAGAGAGGCGAGCACAGCGACTGCGTTCGCTTCGTGGCCGCGTGGCCCACAACCCCCTTGCGCAATGCGTGGGTGGCGGTGGCGGCGGTGGTGGTGGTGGTCGTCTGTCTCCGAGCGCCATCCGGGCTGAGCTCCTGCTTAGCTTCCGAGATGCGATGAGAGAGCAAGTCGACTGCAGAGTGCCCCGGGCCTCGCAACATCTCGGCAGCTAAGCAGGAGGAGGGAGTTGAGCCTGCTTGGAGATTATTGTCCAGGCAATGTGCGAGAGACAGGTGGAGTGGAGGCGGCGTTCGTGCAGTGGGAGGGCAGTGCAGCAAAACCTCTCTGCACTCATCCCAACTTTACCAAGCAGGCCACTGCACCGGCGTGGTGAAGTATGGTCAATTATTCATCGGGGCGGCCTCATCCAGCAGATGCTCGATTAAACGGGGGGGGGGGGGGGGGTGGGGGGGCTGTAAGCATGGAGGTGGGAGCCCATAGAGGCTACACGCCTCTCTTGGGGAGGGAGACCACCGGGCTACGATAGCAGAGACATCACAAAACAGAACGGAACAACACAAAAAGGGTCACGAGCCAACGTCGACAGAGGGTGACTCACACACATCGATTTGGTCACTGGTGAAGACGGGGCCTGGCGAGGAATCGAACCCTGGGTCGCAAAGTTTCAGAGTGCCCAATTAACCCATCGCTACAACGCTTCAAACCGGTCGTCCTGAGCGAGTTGAACACGTGCGCGGACATCTGCATGACAACCACACGTGTCGCCGCAGATCCACAGCCAATGCAATAGAGCGTAAGACATGCGTGCACACAGACACGTGCCAACCAACATACACGCCACACACGCGTGGCCGAGTGGTGCAGGCGAATGCGGTTATACAAAGACAAAGATCCCCCGTATAGCCTTCACGTACGTTTGAGGCAAGTGCTGTTAGCGAGCACCTATGAAGGGTGGGCACGGGACTCGAGGTGGTGGGTGGCCAGCACCACGCCCGGCCACGCGTCATCACACACACACAGCTACATACACACACATTTACACACACGTATCTACACACACGTATTTACATACACACATACACACACGTACTTACACACACATACTCACACGTATTTAAACACACACATACACACGTATTTAAACACACACATACACATCTACACATACACACGTATTTACACACAATACGCACACGTATTTACACATACGCGCATATGTATTCATACACGTGTCCATGCATATTAATACACACATATACACATCCACACACACGTATACATGAACGTATCCATATATGCTCATACACATGTATTCACACACACATGTGCAGACACAAACTCGTATCAATAATCACTTTGACACAAACGCACGCGAGGTCGTCCAACATAAACCACAACACTGCACCCGAAACACAACTTCACAAGCTGCCCATGACGTTAATTAAAACAACATGTACACAGCATGCGAGCAAGATGCACACAACTTCACGCAGAAACTCGCCAACAGCAACGCGAAATGCACGACGCGTGAAACGCAACGCGCACAGACATAAGACAGCGCGAATAATGTAGAGCACGTCTTACACACACATAAAGATCCCCCATATAGCCTTAACAGAAAGTAGGGGCAAGTGCTGTTAGCGAGCACCTTTGAAGGACGGAACGGTACACGAGGGGGTGGGTGCCAGCACCACGCCCGACCGCCTTTGTCTCCCCAGTGGCGATGTTAACACACCGCACCAGGTACTCATTTGAGGCTGAGTCGACCTAGGGGAGGCCCAGGACCGGTTCAGATAATCTTCACTGGTGTTGGCCGTGAGCGGGAATCGAACCCGGGTCGCCAGGTTCGTAGCGCAGCACGCTAACCGCTACACTACCCGCTCCCCACACACATACACACATATACACACACATACACACACGTATTACACACACATACACACACATATATACACACACATACACACATATACACACACGTATTCCACACACATACACACACGTATTACACACACATATACACACGTATTTACATACACAAACATACACACACGTATTTACATACACACATACACAGACGTATTTACATACACATGTATTCACACACACATACACGTATTACACACACACATACACACACATATTACACACACATAGACACGTATTTACATACACACACACATCCACACACGTATTACACACACGTATTTACATACACCCACATACACACGTATTTACATACACACACATACACACACGTATTTACATACACACGTATTACACACACGTACACACACGTATTTACATACACACTTACACACATGTATTACACACACATAGACACACACGTATTTACATACACATACGTATTATACACACATACACACACGTATTTACATACACGTACACACACGTATTACACACACATACACACGTATTTACATAAACACACGTATTACACACACATACACACACGTATTTACATACACACATACACACACGTATATACATACACACATACACACGTATTACACACACATATACACACGTATTTACATACCCACACACACGTATTACACACATATACACACGTATTTACATACACACATACACACACGTATTTACATACACACACATACACACACGTATTGCGCACACATACACACACGTATTTACATACACACACATACACACACGTATTTACATACCCACACATACACACATGTATTACACACACATACACACACGTATTTACATACACACACGTATATACATACCCACACATACACACACGTATTACACACACATATACACACGTATTTACATACACACACATACACACACGTATTTACATACATACACACATACACACACGTATTACACACACACAGCGCCATGCACAGCGCAATGATACACAGCAAAGACAAAGGTTCCCCCGTGTAGCCTTAACGGACTTTGGGGGCAAGTGCTGTTAGCGGGTAGCACCTATGAAGGCCGGCACGGCACACGAGGCGGTGGGTGGACAGCACCACGCCCGGCCGCCTTTGTCTCCCCAGTGACGATGTTTACGCATCGGACCGGGTACTCACTTGAGGCTGAGTCGACCGAGGGGAGGCCCAGGACCGGTTCAGATAATCGTCACCGGTGTTGGCCGTGAGCGGGAATCGGACTCGGTCGCTGGGTTCGTAGCGCAGCGCATCGCGAACCGCAGCACCACCGCTCCCTCACAGCGCATCGCCACAACAGCCACATTCATCAGCAGCGGCGCTTTTGTCGCCAGCACGTGCAATTTACACGGGCTCGGGGAATCCACAGACCTGGATCTCAGGGTCACAGGGCAAGTGGAACTGGTCTCGGGGTTCCGTGCAAGGTCTGAATCATCCCTGCTCCAAGGGTAGTTAGAACTAGACGAGATCGAGTCCAGAGGTGGTGGTGGTGGTGGTGATGAGCAGCAGGAGTAAGCACTAGGACACAATCCGGAAGAGGCAATCGGATTGGGGGGGGGGGGGGGGGGTGGGAGAGCAGCGTCCTGCAGAGTTTGCCACAGGAGACCTGGTCCCCGGAACGCACGGCAGAGATGTTGCAGAGGACCCGGCAATGACGGGTTGACACGCGAAGCACGGGGTGACCCACAAGACGGTTCAACAAGACACGACGCATGCACATCGGGGTTGCAGGACTCGCAGGCAAAGGGGGAAACCTGGGCAGGAGAGAGGGGACCTGGGACCCTGGAGGGTGAGGAAGGGTGGGGTGGTGGGTGGGTGGTGGGTGGGTGGGTGGTGGGTGGGGGAGAGATAGACCTCACCTTGCCAAGGCAGCCGCGTAACAGGGCGAGAAGAACGAGCAGCACCAACGGCGCCTGAAGCGCGCTCGATGGCCGCATGGCCGCGCGGAATCGAGCGCGGGGCGCCCGGGAGCGGAGGGGCTCGACGGGGTGGACGCCTCGGACGGACGGACGGACGACGACGACGCGCACGCGCAGGGGGAGGACGGAGCGATGCACAAAGCGAGGAGGCAGACAGGCGGCAGGGTGGACGGCTCCGGGATGAACTGGGGGGGGGGAAGGGGTGGCGGGGGTGGCGGGGGTGGGAGGGGAGGGAAGGGCGGCCCCGGGAGGAGCGGGGGTAGGGAGGGGGAGAGGGGAGGAGGGGGAGAGGGGAGGAGGGGGAGAGGGGAGGAGGGGGAGAGGGGAGGAGGTGTCCGCCAGGGATGGGAGGCAGAGAGCGAGGGAGGCAGGGTCAGTGAGCGCGGCTCCACGTGTCCTCGGAACCCAGTGCGCGCACTCGGCCCACCGACTCTCGCGCAGCGGGGGGAGGGGTGGGGGTGACTTGGCATCTACAGGGGCTGTGGACAAGGCTCGGCGCTCGTGTTCAGAATGGGTGTTGCGCCGTGGTGCGCGCGCGCGCGTGTTGTGTTGGTGTGTTGTTGTCTGTGTGTTGTGTTGTTGTCTGTGTGTTGTGTTGTGTTGTTGCCTGTGTGGTCTAGCGACCCAGGTTCATTCCCGCTCACGGCCAACACCAGTAACGATTATCTGAAACCGGTCCTGGGCCTCCCCTAGGTCGACTCGGCCTCAAATGAGTACCTGGTGCGGTGTGTAGTAAACATCGCCACTGGGGAGACAAAGGCGGCCGGGCGTGGTGTTGTTCACCCACGCCCTCGTTTGCCGTGCCGGCCTCCATAGGTGCTACTCGCAAACAGCACTTGCAATAAGTCTGTTAAAAGGCTATACGGGGGATCTTTGTGTTTGTATTATATATACGTCGTTGTTTATATATTATATATACGTCGTTGTTTTACAATTGCTTACGATGGGCATTGGCCAAGCCTGCACGCTTACAAGGAACCCTCTCTAACAGCCAGTCGAAAGGGATTTGAGAGATCTGACACTTCACACCGCGCGTGATTTCTGTGCGCGTGGAAACTACCAAAGATTCATGGCGTTGCCAAACATCCAACCACCCATCCTCGAGGCAAAAAAAATACACATATATATAACTCTTGAGGCTCGGCGAGACTTTCCCGCGCAAATAAAATACTACATTTTTTATTGTGTTTCATAAGTCACGTGTTCGCGGTGTCACAGTGGTAAGGTCACTATTATTGGTCGCTTCCTTTCCCAGGCTGATGTTATTCGACATTGCGATTTTATTTATACGTGCACGGTATTGGGACCTTGGGCTCCCTGGTTTAAATACAGGGTGCATGCCTCACGTGACCTTGGGGAGCGGTGGTGCAGTGGTTAGCGTTACTGTGATTTTGATCCGGATAACGGGAACCAATTGATTCCCGGCCAAGGCTAACAACAGCGGATGGCGGTATTTGAATCGGTTCTGGCCGGCCCACCCCTACCGCTTCATCCAGCCCGCACTGGCTAGCATGGTGAAGTATGGTCAAAGAACCCCCACGACCGACACGGCGTGGGGAGGCCTTCAGGAGTACATTGACGAAAGGCGTTACTCTTTTAATTGCATTAACGTGTTTTTGTGTGCATCCGTCAGTGGTGTTACGTGTGATGTGTACAGGGTACTGGCTGGGATGTTGCGCGCTGTGTACATGCGGGTCGGTCGTCGATAACACGTGTGCCGCTTTGTGAACAAACACCATCGCTTGGCATGGAGATTGACTCGTTCATTAATTCTAGATTTGAAGCTTTCGTCACTGCAAGGATCCATACTCTTTCGTTCTATTCGGTAAAGTCACGTAAAAGTATAAAACAACAAAATAATAAATAAATAGATGTTATCATTTTCACGACGTTTCGGCCACAACACAAGTGGCCTTTATCAGGTGAAGGGACCAGACTGTCTCGAGGACAGCGCTGGAGTGAACACAGCCAAGCTCAGACCGCGACCTTTAAGCTTGTGTGAGCGGAATTAAGGTGCCTTGACAAAGGAATTAGCATAAAAAATAGCATTTAATTCATGAAATGTTCATTAATACTGGTAACTACCTTGCTCTGCCCAGAGAAGAAGCCGAACCGAGTCTTCATGTGTGTGAAGTACTTGGAGATAACCCTCTGCGACACGAGGGGGACAACACTCATGGCTCCGCACAGATGGATTCAAGAATCTGCTGCTGTACTCATGGCCACCTCGCTGCCACAGACAAGGACTAACCAGGCTCAATCCCCTTGACGACACTGGCGGATTTGCGGATATTTTGTTTAAATTTTCTCTCGTCGTGGGAATATTGAATTCCCACCACTGTCTCAGGGCAGTTAAATGTACAAATGTATAAAACAAGGACATTAATAATATAAGTACGTGCGTTATATAGACCTAAGCCCACTACGCCAACAACTTTTTAATAATATTTCACAAACAAAACTTTCCTGAGTCTCAAGACTCTATTTTCAGGAGGGTCTTGCTCTAATTATTTGGCTAATTCCCACGTAATTGTATTTAAGTTTAATGATGAACTATGCATAAGAAGAAGTTGAAATGCCTGGAGTAAACTCACAGAGCAGCCTGTAAAAATAACCACTCTACTTGCTGTACTGCTAACTACTTGCTGCACCGCTATCTGCGAACAGCTCCCTGCCCTACAGACGTATGTGATCATTTCAGTGACCCACTAACCCCGACGGTCAGGTGATGGATCATGGACGGGCGTCATCGCACGCGCACGATCTTTTGATCGGTGCTCTCGTGCAAAACACATCAGAGTCGATGGGTTTCGGCGTAAGCTGTGCGATGAAGAAACAAATGACAACATTGCTGCTGCGCTCCCGGTCACCTCGCTGCCACGGACAAGGGCTAACGAGGCTAAATCCATCTGACGGCAGTGGCCGCTCTCTGTATTTGCCGTGTCAAGTACGGCGAAGTGACCAACAGCAGACGCTAGAGGCGGTATCATCGCTCTGAATGCAGCAGGGAACGAACACGCAAATAAAAATATCCATCGCGATAGCGGAGCGGCAGCCACCGAAGTTGAGCGCTTGCGACGTGTACGGTGCTAGGGGGATTGTCACATCGCAGGGTCGCGAGGGGGTGGCGATAGGTTTTGGGGCGGGGGGGGGGGGGAGGAGGACGTCTTCCTCCAGCAGTGGATCGAGCATATCTGCTGCTGATGATGATGATGAAAGCGCGATTATCTCGACGTTTAAATCACGTGGTAGGATTTGTGGGGTTTTCGAGCAGTGTGGCACACGGGAGTTCGAGCGCCGCGCTACGAACCAAAGCCACCTGAGTTCGATTCCTCGTCACGGCTAACATCAGTGGCAAATGATATATGCACCGATATGTTCACCAACCCTCACTGTCCAGCGTGGTTTGATATGGTCAAACAATGACCGTGGCTGGCACGGGATTGAGAGGCCCGCATCTGGGAATTAGAATGGAAATGTCAAATGTAGGTAAACAATAAACACCTTTTAGTAGCATTTACGAGTATGCATGGCCTTATTTTATATTTGTAGAGCGCCTTTAATCAACACCTTTGATCGCGGCCCTTAACATAATCAAACAAATATATAAACAAATACATTGTTTAGATGACGGGGGTGTGCAAGGGATGGGGAATGGGTGACCAGGATGGAGGTGTACGTGGGGGTTATAAACTAAAACTAGAAACTACATATATATTTTACCAGGCACGGCCCACTGAGCTCCTTTTCAGAAACCACCTGGCCATCACGAATGATAGCTCAACGAAGTGGCTTGTCGTGTGGGACATTTATAGGGGCCAAATACTCGAAACGCGTGGTGATGTTGATTCTAAACGTGGAGGGTAAAAACCGGAGGACCCTGAGAAAAATCCACGCGACCGCGGGGAGAGAGAGAGGGACACGCACACTCCAAATATACAGCAGCAGGCGTCAGGGTCGGGATCGAACCCACGACCTCCTGTATACCAAGCGAGGTAGTTAACATCTCGTCACCATAGGGTTATGAAAGGGTGGGAGGGGGGGTTACATGGAGGGGCGAGGGGAGGGAAGAGGAAGAAAATTGGCAGTGGAGAAGAAGTGACGCTTTAAGAGAGGATTTACACTTTAATCATGCATCACCAACAGCAGCAGCCATGACCTATCTACTGCTGGATGAAGGACTCCCCACGTCGTCACCATCCCGCAGTCCCGCTGCCGCACTTGAGCGAATCTTATCTGAAATTAAAACCTGGTGCGGTGTGTAAACATCAGCGCTGGAGAGACAAAGGCGGCCGGGCGTGATTGTCTTGTCCCGTGCCAATCTTTGTCGGTGCTCCACTCGAACAGCACTTGCCTCGATGGTCTATGCAGACTATATCGGCAATATTTGTATATAAAGGCAGCACAGCAAGTGGACTAATATCCATCTGGTTCCATCTGTACGTGGATATAGCGTTTCCCCCTCGCGCGCGCGGGGTTTCTCCGGGTGCTCCGGTTTACTCCCACTGGTATAAAACCACATCTACCAACACACTCACCACAATCATTAACATACCACCACCACTAACATACTCATCAGCATTATCATTAAGATGCTCACCAACATCATTACCAAGATACTCACCACCACCATGAACATATTTACCACCGACGATGCCCCTGACTTCCTGCTGCTCATATCGCGCCCTTCTTTCTTTGTCTTGGGGATTTCCGTGCTGGCTTCCCTTCCCTTTCCCGGTAATCTTTTTTGAGGGAGGGAAAAAAACCCACTCTCAACGTATAACTCTCTTCATCCGTCACGTCCCTTGGCTATTGTGCTTCCATGCCTGTTCCATCCCCTTCATATTATTTCCCATCTTTTTTTCTCTGCTCCCTTCCCTTTCCCATGATCAGTGTTCACGCATTACATTCTAGACCAGCGTGGTGCTTACACCTTCACCGCAGCCTGCAACCCATTTGGTTCTCAGAAAGGGCTTCACGTAACCCCCAGCGGGTGCGTGCACCCCGGGCTCAAGAAGAACCTCTTGCTCCGGACTCGACTCCCCGTCTCGTGGCGCGCCACGGACACGAAACAAAACGAACAGAAACAAAACTTAATTGCAACAATTTCACCAAAACATTCGTTGGTGCTCTGCACCACGGACAACCATTGACGACCAATCTCCTCCGTTCCAGCGCAAATGCGGTCGCGAAGCACGTGAGCCCTGTTATGTTAGCCGACTCTCCGTGTCGTATTGCATCATATTTCTAAGTTTACTGTGTTCGGTTTTCTAATTCATTCTTACCTGATGACGGTGGCTTGTGTTGCAATCGAAACGTCGTATTCTATTATTAATTACTTTTATTTCCCACGTCACTTTACCGAAATAACCAAAGAGTACGTGAGTCTTCTTCGCGCGCCCGCGGGAGTCCGCCGAACCTGTCCCACGTGACGCACAGAGTGCTTTAGCATCGGATTCACGTGGACGCGTGCACGGCCGTACGTACGTTTGCACTTCTTTCGCACCATACGCAGCCAACCGTGCCTCTCGTAGGTGCGTACGTGTATGTCCCACGTACCAGTAATGATTCAAATTAAGCTCTAGAACACGCACCTGTGTGTATGTCCCACATACCGCCTCACATTACTTGCATCTAAAAAGTATTTTTTTTTTGCATCACACCAGTAACCGCCCGACCTCTGACCCCCCACAGCTCCAACAGCACCGCGGGGCCAGGTAAAGGGGGCGGCTCACGCCGCTGGGGCTGTTGTGCCTCAAATATTGGAGGAAATCGCCGCTCTCTGCGAGTGGCCCGGGCTTTCATGCGCCATCTGTTTTGTGAAAGTGTAAACAGCGATGCAGGGCCTGAGACTCTTTGAAAGTGTTGTAAAGAGTTGACCTCCCACGCCAACTGCTGAGGTAGGTTGGCGATTGTGTGCTCCATGCTCCCTAATCTCCCCCATGAACACAACTGACGTGCTTGCGTGCGGGGATGGAATTCCTTTCCAGCTCAGACCCCGCCTGCTTGCCCTTCGCCACATAAATAACCTCTTGTTGTTGTATATAACACCTCTTGTTGTTGTAACAGCTCTCTCGCTGAGTTCCTCTTGATCCAGCAGTTGTTGTAGCAGCTCTCTCGCTGAGTTCCTCTTGATCCAGCAGTTGTTGTAGCAGCTCTCTCGCTGTGTTCTTCTTGATCCAGCAGTTGTTGTAGCAGCTCTCTCGCTGAGTTCTTCTTGATCCAGCAATTGTTGTAACAGCTCTCTCGCTGTGTTCTTCTTGATTCAGCAGTTGTTGTAACAGCTCTCTCGCTGTGTTCTTCTTGATCCAGCAATTGTTGTAACAGCTCTCTCGCTGTGTTCTTCTTGATCCAGCAGTTGTTGTAGCAGCTCTCTCGCTGTGTTCTTCCTGATCCAGCAATTGTTGTAACAGCTCTCTCGCTGTGTTCTTCTTGATTCAGCAGTTGTTGTAACAGCTCTCTCGCTGTGTTCTTCCTGATCCAGCAGTTGTAACAGCTCTCTCGCTGTGTTCTTCCTGATCCAGCAATTGTTGTAACAGCTCCCTCGCTGTGTTCTTCTTGATCCAGCAGTTGTTGTAACAGCTCTCTCGCTGTGTTCTTCCTGATCCAGCAATTGTTGTAACAGCTTTCTCGCTGTGTTCTTCTTGATTCAGAAGTTGTTGTAACAGCTCTCTCGCTGTGTTCTTCCTGATCCAGCAGTAGTTGCAACAGCTCTCTCGCTGTGTTCTTCCTGATCCAGCAGTTGTTGTAGCAGCTCTCTCGCTGAGTTCTTCTTGATCCAGCAATTGTTGTAACAGCTCTCTCGCTGTGTTCTTCTTGATTCAGCAGTTGTTGTAGCAGCTCTCTCGCTGAGTTCTTCTTGATCCAGCAATTGTTGTAACAGCTCTCTCGCTGTGTTCTTCTTGATTCAGCAGTTGTTGTAACAGCTCTCTCGCTGTGTTCTTCCTGATCCAGCAGTTGTAACAGCTCTCTCGCTGAGTTCCTCTTGATCCAGCAGTTGTTGTAACAGCTCTCTCGCTGTGTTCTTCCTGATCCAGCAGTTGTTGTAACAGCTCTCTCGCTGTGTTCTTCTTGATTCAGAAGTTGTTGTAACAGCTCTCTCGCTGTGTTCTTCCTGATCCAGCAATTGTTGTAACAGCTTTCTCGCTGTGTTCTTCTTGATTCAGAAGTTGTTGTAACAGCTCTCTCGCTGTGTTCTTCCTGATCCAGCAGTAGTTGCAACAGCTCTCTCGCTGTGTTCTTCCTGATCCAGCAGTTGTAACAGCTCTCTCGCTGTGTTCTTCCTGATCCAGCAGTAGTTGCAACAGCTCTCTCGCTGTGTTCTTCCTGATCCAGCAGTTGTAACAGCTCTCTCGCTGTGTTCTTCCTGATCCAGCAGTTGTTATAACAGCTCTCTCGCTGTGTTCTTCCTGATCCACCAGTAGTTGTAACAGCACTGTGTTCTTCCTGATCCAGCAGTTGTTGTAACAGCTCTCTCGCTGTGTTCTTCTTGATCCAGCAGTTGTTGTAACAGCTCTCTCGCTATGTTCTTCTTGATCCAGCAGTTGTTATAACAGCTCTCTCGCTGAGTTTCTTCCTGCTTCAGCAGTTCCACTGATGGATTATTTTTTCCGCCTGAGGACGACCGCTTGTGTTCGAAACGTCGTGATATATTATTGTTTATTTTATTTTTCTACCTACGTAACTTTACCGAAAGAACCAACAAGATTGGATTCCAGCAGTCACGAAACCTTCAAATCAAGATTGCCCTATATGACATCATTACGACCATCTGGTGGTCCAGATAACCGCTTCCACGGGACTGGAACTATGACCCGGTGGTCCCACATTTTTATGAAGGGGGAGCGCACTGATTGCTAATCCGGTACCAGCGGTGTCAAGATCGGCCTTTGTAGTGGAGGCTCGTGAAGGACGCTGCTGCTGGGCAGTTGGAGGAAGTCGCCCTCCAACAACAACGGAGGGGGGATGAGCAACGCTCAGAACAACGAGCGGATGGTCGGGCTCTTCCACTCGTTGACACAATGGGGTGCACAGGTGGTGCATCTGCCGGTCACCTCCGTCAACGCATGGCAACTGGGTCTGCCCCGTGACCTCCTCCTGTCAAAACAGCGGCCCTTCGACACTTCACTTGGCACAAGCTCCGCGGTGACGTCACCGCCACTTAGCATCTACCTGTCGATGTGTCGTTGTTGCTGGTTATCATTCGCGTGATCTGAGTGCGCGGCACAGCGAGCGCTTGACCCGGGGTCGAACTCGGGGTTCGGTCTGCCGGGAGCGAGCGAGTGACCGAGAGCGAAGGACCGAGTGAGGGCCAAGCGAGGGACCGAGTGACCGAGAGCGAAGGAGCGAGCGAGGGACTAAGCGAGGGTTCGAGAGAGAGCCGAGGGAGCGATCGAGGGAGCGCGCTTCTGCTGCGCACAGGGGGAGGCGGCGCCTCGGCTGAACCGCCCTCAACCAACCCCATCCCCGCTCCGAGCGCGCGCGTGTGCACGCTGGCACCACATCACTCTCCCCTCTCTCCTCCGCATCCAGCCTCCCTCCCTCCCTCCTCCTCCTCATCCCCTCCCTGGCGGCGCGGGGAGTGAGTGGAGTTGGTGGTCGTGGTCGTGGTGGTGGTCGTGAGCGTCGTGCGTGAGCTTCTCCGAACCCCGGGGTTTAATCCCCGCGAGCCGAGCGACCCCAAGGGGCCTTTTGAGTTATTTATTTATTTTGTCATTTATCGGAAGCTCCGACTTTGTGCCATTTTGGTGCAGGTCCATCGCGGAGTCGGTATGGGAGATGCAAGGTGAGCAAAATCGTCAGCACCGACATTATCATCGTCGCAGCAGCGAATCTCCTGAACCGATAAACATCATCAAACCTTCTTAACAGATATTCACCACCACCCCCTCTTATAATACTTTATTTATAATCAACAGCAGCAAACTTTGTTATGCTAATTATCATCAATTCATATTGTACTCGATATATAATCAGTCACGCTCGTCATGATCATCGTCATCATAAGCAGCAGCAAAACCTTCCTGCAAGATTTGTAATATCACCATCATCAAACCTTACTGTTAATCACCATCATCTTCTACGTCAGAAGTAGGCCCGGCTATCAATCATCACCATCGACTTCATGATCTTAATCACCAACACCTCCCACTCGACTTAAGACATAATCATCATCAACAGCATAAACCTCTACTGCTGGATCGATGCACAGACATCACCACCACCACCATCACCGCATCGCTCATTCCTACCGTCCCCAAATCATTAGCAATCATCGCCGCAACTTCTCATCCTTCTCCCCACGTGCACGCCCGAGAAGATTGTGGGCCAGAAGATGAGGTCTGTGCGTGGGGAGGGGGGGCAGCCGTGACTACGTCCTCAGTTTGTCTATTCAATACTGTCACTGTCATGTGACTATGCACTATGCCATGCGATGTGCTCCATATCAAAATATGTCGTGTGTTTGTGTTCTCTCTTGAGATACAGTATATACACATAGTATATATATACTATATATATACTATATATATACAGTATATACACATATACTGTACCGTGTCCTGCATTCATCCATATACTGGATGCCCTATATGAGTGCAATATATCAGTACAAGTTATATATTGTTTTATCCTTCATATATAACAACATTATATCATGTATATAAGTACTGCATGTACTATGTGCATATGTATACGCAGTCTGTGTGTCTGCTGTCGATGCGAGTAAACACGTGCTCGGCGTGTCTCCTCTGTACACCAGGTGTTGTGTGTCCTCCGTTAGTACGTGAATGTATTCACCGCGACATACATTTGCCGTGTGTCATATATCTACGTTATGGGCAGGATTTCCTCTACTGATGCATCTGCTGTACCCCGAGTAGATCGTCCTTGGTCTGTGGGCAATGAATGTGCAACGTTGATCCCAGATTCTGTTTTGCTATCGCAACTTCATGCTTGTCCAGTTTGGCCTGTATTGATTCGCGTGTGGCACGTGCTTGTGTCCTGTATTCACATGTGGTCTGTGCGTACTCTGTGTCCTTGTACCGAGATGTGGTATCCGCGATACTCTGTATTGGTGTGTGGCACGTGCTGTGTCCTACACTGACATGTGAAATGTGTTCTGCGTGTCCCGCGTTGGTATATGCTCCGTGTTCTGTATCGATATGTGGTATGCGCAAGTGCGTTTCTGTAGGCGTATCTCTGTTGTCCTGCACTGACACGTGAGTACGAGCTGCGTTTGGTATCGACGCCTGGCACGTGCTGAGTGCAACCTTCGTCGAAACTCGGAACGTGCTGTGCCCCCATATTGCTTCGTGGTACGTGTTGTGTGTGTGTGTGTCTGTGTGTTTCCTGTGTTGACATGTGGTATGTCAGCATGTCCCGCTCTGCATCGATAAGTGGCACGTGCTCTCTGTCCTGCATTCATGTGAGGTATGTGCTGCGTGTTCGCTCCCCGCGCAGGCGACTACTGGTGGCGTTGGCGATGGTGCTGGCCACGGTGATGCATTTTGTGGAGGCTGTGAGTACTGTCATTACACACCAACCGTACACGACCCATAGATTTGGAGTCAGTTCAAGATCAGGCGCAGGGTGCGAGTCAAATCCGCCTCACCCGTCACGTGCTATGGACTGTGGAACTCTCTGTCAAAGGCTGTCAATGAGCCCGGTTCTATTGCGACCTTTGAGTACAGCCTAATATAATTTCCTCATTCGGGAAGCATTTGCAATCTTCATTTAACGCCCTCTTTACCCATTCCCCATGTGGCACTCTTTGAAGATGAAAGACGCGATGTGAAGCTATTCTCGTGATGTCCTTCACTGTTCTTGTGTCGGTGAGTTACTAGTTTCGGCTCAGTCCCCCTGTATACGTTTGTGTTACACCTTTACCTACGCAGTGATGGTGATGGTGATGTATCCATCATGATGGTGGTGCTTCCATTATGATGATGGCGTATCCATGATGATGATGGTATCCATGGTGATGACGGTGTATCCATGGTAATGATGGTGTTTCCATGCAATCTGTTCAATGTTTTGAGGTGCAGCACTATTTCAATTTGAACGTTACCTTCTGAATTGTGTCAAATATCGTGACTCGCACTCCAGTGCACTCTGCGTCGTGATTACCTAATACCGACCCTTGAAGGGTAACCAAGTTAAATATCTGTACGTGTGTTGAACTTCTTTCGCACCGTACGTAGCCAACCGTGCTCATCGGAGGTGACGGGTTACTTGCGAACTGTTCCGCAACAAGGCAACAGACGACGTTTTAAAGGTTGCTCCACAAAGGGCGATTCGTTGCCTCTCTCTCTCTCTGAGCCGAGCGACGCGGAGGCAATCGGTATAAAATAGGACGATGCAAAGGCACCCTGCAGGTGCAAGGTGCGCACCGAGACGCGTAACGGGTCCGTCGCGTCTCCCCCGGAGCTGTCCTTCCTCCTGTGTGCTCGCCGGCGATCCACGCCCTATTTACGAAGCCGTATTTGTGTGGCGCACATTATTTATTTATTTCCCTCTCCTATTTTGATCGCTCTCCGACGTAACTGGGAGTTGGTGAAGAAGGAGTCGAGGAGGGCAGTTGCCACACCCCCCCCCCCCCCCCCCCACCCCCGATCTTGAAAGCCTCATGAGTCCTGGCTCCGGTATCTCCCCATCATCCCCATCTCTCTCTCTCCACGTGCGCGTTTACGACGCCTTCTGCTGAATGCCCTTCCGTCTGTCAGGATGTGACTGATGAAGGGAGGAATTATTTACGGAAGGGTTTGTTGTTGGTGGGAGAGAAGGGTTGTTGTTTCTTGCTTGCTTGCCTCGCACGTTATGGAACCTGACGCGGGTCCTCGTCGCACGAGCACCGACGGCCACTGCGTTCACAAATATTTAATAGCGCCGACAGTGATTCTTTCAGCGTGTGTGTGCGCGTGTGTGCGTGTGTGCGTGTGTGTGTACGTGTGTGTGTGCGTGCGTGTGTGTGCGTGTGTGTGCGTGTGTGTGTGTGTGCGTGTGTGTGCGCGTGTGTGTGTACGTGTGTGTGTGCGTGTGTGCGTGCGTGTGTGTGCGTGTGTGTGTGCGCGTGTGTGTGTACGTGTGTGTGCGTGTGTGTGTGCGCGTGTGTGTACGTGTGTGTGTGTACGTGTGTGTGTGCGTGTGTGTGTGTGTGTGTGCGTGCGTGTGTGTGCGTGCGTGTGTACGTGTGTGTGTACGTGTGTGTGTGTGTACGTGTGTGTGCGTGTGTGTGTGCGCGTGTGTGTACGTGTGTGTGCGTGTGTGTGCGCGTGTGTGTGTGTACGTGTGTGTGTGCGTGCGTGTGTGTGTGTGCGTGTGCGTGTGTGTACGTGTGTGTGCGTGCGTGTGTGTGCGTGCGCGTGTGTGTGTGCGTGTGTGGTGTGTGTGCGTGTGTGTGTGCGTGGCTAGTTGTTAGCCGTACCCTGGCTCGCCAGGAGGACGCCGGTGAGGTGTGTGTGTGTGCGCGTGTGTGTGCGCGTGTGTGTGAGTTCGCGTGTGTGCGTGTGCGTGTGTACGTGTGTATGCGTGCGTGTGTGCGTGTGTGTGCGTGTGTGTGTATGTGGGGAGCGATAGTGTAGCGGTTAGCGCGCTGCGCTATGAACCTGGCGACCCGGGTTCGATGCCCGCTCACGGCCAACACCAGTGACGATTATCTGAACCGGTCCCGGGCCTCCCCTAGGTCGACTCAGCCTCAAATGAGTACCTGGTGCGGTGTGTAAACATTGCCACTGGGGAGACAAAGGCGGTCGGGCGTGGTGCTGGCCACCCACCCCCTCGTGTACCGTTCCGGCCTTCATAGGTGCTCGCTAACAGCACTTGCCCCTACAGTCTGTTCAGGCTATACGGGGGATCTTTGTCTTTGTTTTTGTGTGTGTGCGTGCGTGTGCGTGCGTGTGTGCGTGTGTGCGTGCGTGTGTGCGTGTGTGTGTGTACGTGTGTGTGTGTGCGTGTGTGCGTGGCTAGTTGTTAGCACCCGGCGACCCGAGTTCGATTCTTGCTCCCGCTCACGCCCACCAATACCAGTGACGATTATTCCAACCGGTCCTGGGCCTCCTCTAGGTCGACTCAACCTCAAATTAATAGCTGGTACAGTGTGTAAACATCGGCACTAGGGAGACAAAGGCGGCCGGGCGTGGTGCTGGCAGGCCACTCCCTTGTGTGCCGTGCCGGCCTTCACAGTTACGACTCGCTAACAGCACTTCCCACGACAGTCTGTTAAAGCTACATGGGAGATCTCTGACTTTGTCTTTGTGCGTGTGCTGGAACGCAGCATGATAACGTTATATATTCTTTTTTTTAATTGAAAAAACATTTCACGTACCTCTTTGCCCATCTTGCTCTGTTGATTTTAAATCTTTTGTAAGAACATTGTCTTAAGATGTACGCGGATTGACAGTCAGTCAGATGGATAGACGGAAAGATGGACAAACGGACGACATATATATTCCAATTCTGTCAATAAGTAGACTCTTCCTGCTCTCATAAAAAAATACAAAGCTAAATTTGTAAGGGTCTCCGCCTTACATAAGCGCCCCTGGTAAAGGTATCGCCCTGGAGAGAGTGCCAGACTCGCACTGTGAGAGCTGAGTTTTAAATGCCAGATGAGATCAGCCCATTCCATCATCTACGTGGGGTTTGATAATTTAAAAAAACGCGAACCATGGAAATGTGGAATTTCCACTGCGGGTAAAGGGCTGCCAATGGATACGAGCACTTGAATGTTGACTGACTTAGAGCAAAAACTCGATATAAGCACTCCATATATAAGCACCGTTATGCTATAAGCAACACGAGCTTACATTACGCTGGTGGTTAAAGGCAAAGGGCAATGCCAGGTACAAGCACGCTACTGGGGCTGCTGGTGATGGATATAAGCACAGCTCGCGCTGCTCCCACGGAGTGTGCTTATATCCAGCTTCCACCGCAGTCGCCAAAACGGGTGAATAACAACAACACGTTGTTATTCCGACCGACTGAATGAAATAACACCCGGGCGGAGAGAGAGCGATCAATCGTCCACGCCGTGGAAACCGCGATAGGTCACCGCCTGCCCACGCGCTGCCACCGTAGATTCCGTGCCACGGTAGATTCCGTGCCACCGTAGATTCCGTGCCACCGTGGGTTCCGTGCCACCGTGGATTCGGTGCCACCGTCGGTTCCGTGCCACCGTGGGTTCCGTGCCACCGTGGATTCCGTGCCACTCACCGGAGGCGCCGTAGGCCGCGTGTTGGACCAAGGGGGGGGGGCAGGGATAGCCCCCCTCCCCTCTCTGATTGCCCACGTCGCTGCTCAATGTCGCCGCGGTTCGTTCGGTCGCTGCGATGTAGAATGGCGATTCGCGTCGCGTCTGAATATTGGCCACGTGACGACGCGTTGATGAAAATACGTTCTTATGATCACAGTGTGATCACTCGTTACACACAAAGTGCTCGCCACCAATGAACCGCAATACCTCGCTGATCTCGTCAAGGAGCACAAACCGCGATCACGCGAACTGCGCTCATGCTCACAGCAGCAGCAGCAGCAGCGGCTTTTGTCTGCCCATCGAACAAAGACGGCGGTCACCGCATCGCGTGGCGCTTTCAGACGCGCTCCTGCGGCCGTCTGGAACGCTCTTCCTTCCGATATTAGGAAGCCACTGGAGCTTTGCGCTTTTAAATCATCCAGATTGAATAATCATTTCTTTAGAACTGCTTTTTGTGTTTAGTTTGTTGTCCTTCCGATTAGCACGGTTGGCTACGTACGATAAGAAAGAAGTTCAACATACATACTGTACACACGTGTCAAATCGTGTGTGGACATATAAATATCTAACTGACGGTTTGCTAATACCACTTATGTAATAATGTAAGAGAATAAAACACTTTTATTTTTGCAGGAAATCCTGTAAGGTTACTTTTTCCAAGAGAGGTATGTGCGCTGGTTGGGATGTTTGACCAATTCTGTTAAACGGGAGCTTAACAGAATTAAACGGGAAGGTAAGCAGAGCGGAATGGGTTGGACTACTTTTTTTACATCTGTGAAAAAGAGCTTCTTAGCTCATTGGATTTCTCCATCGTAGAGTCGAACCCTCTCAGCACTTCTGCCACATCCGGGACCAACGCGCAGCCTCACGCCTACAACACCTGGCAAGCCCCGGTGATCGCACATCCAATCAGCGACCAGTCTGCGTGCAGCTTGGAATTTCAGATGCAACGGGATCGGGTGCATTCATTCATCTTGCGCGGAATGTGTTTAAACAACAACAACAAGGAAACACACCGGTATGTCAATGTTACATGTCGGTGGATGTAATCAATGAGACGGAACAAAATCTGTTTGAATGAGACGAAGTCAAAATGAAACAATGAAACAAGACAGAAGCAAAGTATTCTTAACTCGAGGCTGTCACCCCTCAATCATGACGAATTATCGTGTCGCGTCGCTGGGGAGTTGAGCGCGAGGGCGGGCTTTAATCGCCATCTGCCAAATCTTACACGAGCTATATCGGAACATATTGCGTGGGGGGGTGGGTGG